AAGAAAAGAAAAGAAAAGAAAAGAAAAAGAAAAGAAGTAATGCCACTGCCTGAAAAATTCTCCCAAAAAGTTTGAATTAGAGCTCTTATTATGCTTTCAAAAATATGCAGGAATTCAGGTTATTTCCAGTTCTCCCTTCAAACTCATAGCCTTTTGCAGCCCAAACCAGAGTTACAGGGCTGCTGATGGGAGGAACCTGGGGGGGCTTTGTAATTTGGCAGAAGAGGAGTAGAGGACAGCCCACAGCATTGTGCTGTGATAAAGGGTTCCTCCCACTGCAGAAATGGACAACAGGAGAGTGAAGGTTTCTTTGTCAAAATGGTAAATATCCATCTGTTATTGGTTCACTGCAAAGATGAGTGCCCACTGAGATTTTGTCTTCCTCATGACATTCATCCTTTGAGTTTACTTGCCCAGTGAAGATAACATCCATTACAAATTTTAATTTCCAAGCCATGGGTGTTTCAGCTAGAAAAGCATTTTAATCAGGAAAAAGGTGTATTTTTGGCTACAATTCACACACACCCCACATCCCCCAATATAATTTAAACTATTTTTGTTCAGGTATGATAAAACCTGCCTTTGGGTGAAGACTAAGACTCCTTGAATCTCAGTTAGACAGTTAGAGACAATCAACTGTCTAAAAGCTGCAATGCATAATCCACTCCTGTGGTCACTTGGAAACAGGTACTGGATGCAATTTCACCACAAGGGCCCTCAAACCTGTTAAACATGTTGGATCTCTTAGCAGCACAGTCCACTCCCCTCCTTTATTCCTACAGCTAAGAAAGTAAGCAACAAGCACTTGAGAAGCCCAGATGTGAAAGCACATGAGAAGCTGAACTTCTCAACAGAAGAGCTGATCTCTGTAACTGCACTTAGGATCTGACCTGGACTCCCAATGTTTAGGAGTTTAATGGGTAGTTCTGTTATAGTTAGGTGGGACCCAGCATACTTCTAAATACCTCTTGAAGCTTTCCTCCTACGCAGGGGCGATGATGGTAATCAAGTTGGCTGCTGAAAACCATGATATTCCTTATTCCAACTGTTTTCTTGCACAAGCTGTCCCTAGATCCTGTTTATGTTCCCAAGGAACAGGAACAGTGACAGCATGCAGCTTTCACGAGGCCTTGCCCAAACAATTCTTTCTCTAAAGATACAGGTTTTTTT